AGAGAGGAAAAGAGAGAGAGAGCGAGAGAGAGAGAGAGAGAGAGAGAGAGAGAGAGAGAGAGAGAGAGCGAGAGAGAGAGAGAGAGAGAGAGAGAGAGAGAGAGAGAGAAGGAGAGAGAGAGAGAGGGGGGGGAGAAAAAGGAGAGAGAGAGAGAGAGAGAGAGAGAGAGATGGAGAGAGAGGCGTGAGAAAGAGAAAGACCGTCTTCATATTTGAGCGTTTTGGAACAGTACCGACGACTCAAGTACTGATGGTAAGTGTAACACTAAACGCATATCTCGCTTATGAAACAACTACGATAGAGAAGACCGAGTCAATCGTAGCAGCATAATATTAGCGGCAAATCTGCAAAGAAAACTGATCCACCTTCTTTTCATTGATCAAATCATTCATACTATCCGATCAGTGTCTTTCATTTATATACACATTTAGTCATGCTTACTCGTAATAGTTTAAATCTGTGCAGGTTGCTAGTGCCACAGACGAAACTTAAGTTGTTTCAGTGCTGGTGCCACTTCAGAATCATGGCTATAGACGAATTGTTTTCACTTAAAATGTTTTCTGATGTTCCAGAATAGAACCGTGGCGAGTGTATGTAGGTTAAAGCAGAGGAAACTCGATATGGCTTCATCCGTGCATATGCTACCAGCTTACGAACAATCGTTGTTCGGTCTCTCATATTAAATATATGGCCTATCTAGAAATAGATACAATAGGCCATATTTTTAGTAGGTCTGACCTGGCACGAAAACGACGTGATCAAGCTAGACACATCACATGTCGACGTACGAAAAGAGTTGTATATATAAGTGATACGATTAGGTAGCAAGAGTAAGCAAATCGGGTAGACAAAGCCAACAGCATAGGCAGAAGACGCGAATAGATTGTGTTATTATCAGGCAGCTAATCTTTTCACGTATAAGGCGTACACAGTCTTAGGGGTACGCACTTCACAGGCGTACGGAGGGTATAACAAATTGCATGTGAAACAAGTAATTAAGTACAAGGTGAATGAACCGAAAAGAAGATCTACTTCAGGTAATATAGCATCAGGCTATCAGCTCACGATTTTCCCGCCGTCAAAGCCATGCTCCTCGGCAACACCCAGCGGTCGCGTCACGCAATCTCGTCGCGCATGCGCACGACGGCGGCGCCACGCGTAACGGAGCACCGGACACGCGGAAATGCCTGCGACGTGGTGACCCGCTAAGCTTGTATAACACAAGGTGGCTACTGTGAGAGCGACGTCGTGGCTGTGCTGTGGAACGCCCAGGTGTGCGGAAGGCGTCGTCTGCTATAGATATGCAAATACGCGGTGGCCAACCAATGGCGCGGGAAAATTACGTATGCCGAACGCGCAATGTTGCGCCTAAGTCTAGCTGTCTAGGGAAAAATATGATGGTGCCGCGCAACGAGTGGTGCCAACGAACTTTTAATGTATTCATACCGTGCGACTATGCTGCCATAGACAGATTGCTCCGTGATCAATTACCAAGCAGATATTAGGTGCATTTACGGGAAAAATTCTATTTGTAACCAAGCGTGCAAACGCTATATAGGGTCATTCGACAATATACTTCACAGGATACACTTCGTGGATATTACCTATTTGTGTGTAATACATCCTGTGTGGAAATAAATTCATAGAAATTCGTAAAACGTGTTCTATTAGGTTATTATATTAGATAATTAATTAAGATTTTAATAAACATACGAAAACCATATGCCGACACTATACGACTACCAAAACTACCTGCCGCCGTCGTCACCTCTACCACCCTCACCTATATAGCTTTCATAATGAACATATATATTGTATACATATATACATACACACGCGCGCACGCACGCACTTTAAACTTGCTTTTGCATATAGATAGGTTATGCTATTACCATGCAGGAACAGTATTGTTTGAGCATTAGATGTAGATTTCGGAGTCGGAAATGAAGTTAATAACGTCACTTTAGTCATTTGAAAGTGTTAACCGTTTTATAGTATAGCTACACACAGTAATTTAAAGGACAATATTAACCGCCATAGACCATCGAATTATGACTACATTTCAGTGGAATATTTCAGTGTTCAAAGTATCGAAGACTTCTTGAGAAATTACCGTCGCCTTAACAAACCTGTTTCTTTTAACCGAACACTGACTCTCCTTGAACTATTTCCATGTCCTGATCAGGGTCGTCCGAAGGGGGGGGTGAGATGGGTGCGGTCGCACCCCTTTTTTCCAGTTTCCCCGGGAATTAGTTATTTAGCCGGCAAGTCAATTCGTTGCGGAAATGTTAGCGTAGGGCCAATATTTTCGCGTGTTTATGCATAAAGCTTTTGTATCGCGCGTTAAAACTTCCGATTAGCCAATCAGATTGCAATACTTTTCCACCGTCATATATTGGTAATAAATTGTGTGCAAAAATGCTCCAAAAATAAGGCTCAGATTGCACCAGAGCGCATCTAAAACCCCTGAGCTTCCAAGGCCCTTAAGCGGGCCCTGGACCCCGGCCGCGAGGGACTTCGCGCTCACTATTTCACAGAAAATTTTAAATACTCCTGTCATGCCACCCCCCACCGTTTGAAAAACTTGGTAGGGGCCGGCTGACCATGTTTTGCTTCAGACTTTATTCTCTTATTTCATTAACATAGAGTACAAAATCTACTACGGAAATCACTTAAAAAAACAAGGGAAAATGAATACAATTCGTCCTGCATAATCTCAATTACCTACCTCCCATTTCCAATATTGTAACCAATCCCTTCTGCTTGGAAGTACAAAGCGACGCGCGGTTTGTATTCCTGGCAGTTGACAGTGCGAGGTTCGTCATTATACATGGTTATAACCATGTAATAACATCTCCATTGGCCTGTGGTCATCTTCCCCCTTGCAAGCCCCCGCTAGTCACGCCCGAGTCTATTAAATTTTTAATAAAAAAATTCAAATTGCGATGTATGTGTATGATGCACATTTTAATTTGAAGTGTTCTCCATCTGCCTGGAGTGATAATATTCACACACCAAATGTTACAGCCGATACACGTGCATAGGTAATAAACAATTAAATTATTAGCTATCTAACCATACACACATAAACGCACGCATTAACGCACGCACGCACAAACACATTAGAAGGGATAGCAATATGGAAATAATGGAAGTATCAGTTATTTTGAACCCGCTTTGATCAAACAAGGTTGAAAAGATAATTTCTCACTCTACCTCGGGAACCTGTGAGAAGCGTTTGAAAGACAAGTTTCTTTTTTGTCTTTTCGCGAGGCGCATGCAGCGCACAGACTCACGTTTTCATATATGTGTGTGTTCTTTGATTTATTTATCTAATTATCATATTATCTTTACTCACATTGCCGGTGTATGCCTCCCCCAGTCAATACAAAATACACGTAACATGGGACACCTAGCATGATCGAGTGGACTTAGTTTATAGTTTTTTTAAAAATAAACTTCAAATTCAGTCCAACTACAGTACCATTTAAAAACTAGAGCACTCAAAGAGCACAGACCTCCGCCAAGGCAGCTGAATTCTCTCAATGTGAAATTTTTTATTAATTAATTAATTAAGTGGAAAAATTAATTAATTAATTAAAGGGACAGTAGCCTCTAGGATTTTACTGCATACAACTGTACTTACTGTATAACAAATCGTCTATACCTACACGTATTTGTTACCAGATACCTAATTTAATTGTTATAATTAGTTACACATCAACGCTACGAAATTTGAACGGCGCCATAACACCCGCGACCGTGCTGCCACCCCGAAAAAGTTGCGTATTTGACCATTTATTTTGCACGCTACAGACCGAGGGCTAATCACAAAAGTGCAATTATATTTACACCTAAATGCTATTTAACCAAACGATATTCATTTTAGGGCAAATTTATCCATATTATAACTGAAACTATATGTCGTTTATGAGATATTACAATCCTTTTGCTTTTAAATGAATAAATAAGTAACACCCTCGGTCTGTAGCCCTTGGCTGGAAAGTGGTTTTGCGCAACTTATCAGATCGTGCGCTGGCGCCGTCGTTGTAATCAAACTGTAGTCGTTAGTTTTAAAACATTAAAAAAAATATATTTCTAATGGTGACTGAACCATGAAACTTTTTATGTAGCGTAATTATAACCTAAATTAGCTGAAAATAACCCTAGAACCTAGAGTAAACTCTCCCTTTAATTAATTAATTGGATCCGGATTAGTGCGAGCGTGCAGGTGGGGGAGGACTGTGGTTGCCCCTTAGCCTGTGTATTTTTAAGTCTACAGCCAGCGCACCTAGCGGAAGTGAACTGAAACGTGCATGGTAACACACACATACACACACACACACAAATCAACACTCAATGGCACGCCGGTGAAAACATAACCTCCGCCACGCCCCTGGCGGAGGTAATAAAAAAATGAGGCGCTTCCACAGCCCCAATTAATTGGCTGATCTGTGTTTGTTAACCTGTACTGATAAAATAGTTCTATGACAGAATGTCTCTGGTACTGGTGCTTGTTAGCCTATGATACTCTAATCACCAAATAATTTCATCAGATTTCATGATAATATCAGGGATAATAACAGAGTGAATAATATAAGAGTAACTTGCAATTCCGACTCTTGTCACCTGCTGCCATCTGGTGACAAGTGCAAACAACTTTATTCAGTTTGACAAACGACAACCAGATCGGGCGTTGCTAGAACACGGGCGTCGAAGGAGGGTGCCATTACGTGGCAGCACTAGTCATTGCGTATGCTTCAAAGTACAAATCTTCCACAGTCATACTTCCGTGCTAGACATGGCCTTATTTCCCTAACCCTGACCCTAATCCTAACACAAGTGCAGCCACATCACGTGACCCTTCTTCGACGCCCGTGTTCTAGCAACTCCCAACTAGATCGGTTGTCGAGAAACTGTTGCTAACGCGTTTTAAATAAACGGATTTATCATAAAAAAGTCACTCGAATATACTACTCCGGCTATCATGCTGCCATCTAGCGGGAAGACTCCTCATCAAATTGGCTGGCAAGGAAATTTCTCAGCCCTGTTAGAGCCTCATCCTTGTTAGTCGGGTTGTCATCTGACGAGGACAATTTAGTCAGATTGGTCAGCACAGCATCGGGCACCCGCACATCTCCGCGGCGAATCTGCTCCAATAGTTCTAGCCTCCGTGCATTCAACCACCTCGCAGTCGCTTCCAACTGCTTCCCCGTCTTCCCTCCCTCGCACTTACACTTGGCGATCTTACGCGACACGAGCTTACGCAGGACCTGATCTGCCTGGTGGAGCAGGCTCCGCTCGTTAATCCGCCTCGTTAACTCCGCCGCTGCCTCCTCCTCCGCAGCCTCCTCTTCCGTCGCGCCGCGCACGGGGTCGGCTAGAGCGCGCAGCACCAGCGCCATCACGGCGTCCACCGTCGTCTCGGAGATGTCTCGCTCGGTCAGGCTGTGTCGCTCCCACGGGTTCGCCACGGGGTCAGGAGCCTCGAACCTCTCGTGCATCGCCGTGATGATGGCGGCCGGCACGGGGCGTCGCCGTCGCGTGTTCCGGTAGAGGGCGTCGGTGAGGTCGCACGCGACGTGGACGACGCAGAAGCCGGCGGCGTGCCGGCGGGCGACGCGGCGATACTCGCGCCTCATGCCGCGGTAGTACATGTTGTCGTCGACGACGACGAGGAGGGGGCGGGGATGCTCTGCCTCCCACTGCACGTCACGTCTCAGCGACGCGAGGTCAATGCTGCGTGCAAACGCATCCCAGACTGCCTCGTCGATGCGCACGTCCCCATTCTGGTCTGCTCCCATGCTGATGACCACCTCTTCACCCTGGTCTGCTCCAATGCTGATGCCTACGTCCCCACCCTGCACGACAGCCGTGTTGACGTCAATGTCAACACTCGCAATGCCATCCACTTCCTTACTCTGGTCTACCCTAATGCTGACGCCTATTTGCAGGCCCTCTTTGTCGCCCTCGTTGCTCTGCGGGGCAAATTCCTGCAGAAGATCGTCGACGCAGCGGACGACGTACTGTCTGCATCTCTTCCATGAAGAGCTCTCTGCCATCCCTCGCATCTCCGCGTTGTCCCCCATGGCCCGACGCGCCACCGCTGCCTCCTCCGCCCCTCGCATCTCCTCCCCCTCGCTCCCCGCAGCCTGCCGCGTAGCTGCCTCCTCCGCCCCTCGCATCTCCTTCTCATCGCCGCCCGCGGCTTGCCGCGCTGCTGCTACCATCGCTGCCTCTGCCTCTGCGTCGCTCCCAGCGGCCCGACGTGCCGCCGCTACCATCGCTGCCTCTGCCCTCCCTCGCATCTCCTCCCCATCGCCCCCCGCGGCCCGACGTGCCGCCGCTACCATCGCTGCCTCTGCCTCCGCACTCAGGATCGTGTCGTAGCTGATCGTCACTGCGCACATGCTGCCGCCGGCGTAGCGGTCGCAGAGTCTGCGTGCGAGGGTCGTCTTCCCAGCTGCTGGAATGCCACACAGAACAAGAAGGACAGCACGTGCGATGCCGCCACTGCAGCAGTCCTCGACTTCTCCGGCCATCGTCGGCAAGTTACAGCCAGGCTGGTACCGGACAGGATCGGTCGAGCAAGATTTCTGAAGATCCAGTGTAGCGACGTTGACCGCATATATACTGTGCTGTGTTTCACAAGGCTCCAACCACTGGAAGTTCTCCTCGAAATAGTGGAGGACTTGCAATGCACGTTCCAAAGCGATCTCAGTGATCTGGGAAATAGACAGGGGAACAACTTCAGTCGGACCACTGAAGATTCTACTAAATTTAGGTTAGGGTTTTAATGTGTATTTAAACTGCATGAAATTAAAATACCACAAAAGCGTACTTTAGTAACAAATACTTATTGTAATTGTAAAGTTGTCCAATCACATAGAACAGCTTTACAGTTGGCAGCAGAGACTTACCTATGATTTTAGTAATCTGGCAAGACCGGGCCTCCATCCTGATAGTTGCCAGTGACTTTTGCATTGCTGAAGTTCATTCCAGGATTTTCCAATTGGAATCTCTGCAGTGTCAGCTTCTGCTCCATCTTATCATAAGTGAAGGGATCAGCTTCATAGCAATCTGTAACCCAGCAATATTCAAACACCTCGAATATTTATTCGTCCCCCTCCCCTCAGTGCAAAACTGCTGAAGTAAGATAGCAGTATTAAAGACAATGAAGAAGAAACAGCAGCAATGTCTGCCAACAGGTTTTGTGACAATTAGGTTCGTATCAGTAAACTGTAAATCTCCGCAAAGTGCTATCCAATCCAAAACACAAACCAATCATACGTGGCAATAGCTAAAAAAACGTTCGAGGCTTTTCTCAACATAATCCGCATTTCATATTCACGAATCTCACTCAGTCTTGATTGAACACAGGCATATAAAATAATCAAAGTAAGGATTACTATTGGCAGATGATACTAAGCCATAATGCCATGCTACGGAATCAGCTCTTTCAAACTATCGTAGGTGAGTTATCGATATCTGTACTCACCTTTCAATAAAGAACGCCAGCAGGTTTTTACGGTAGACTCCTTGACATTTGGACACTTTGCCAGCATTATGCGCACAAGTCGCCTGTCCTCGATTGTCCAAGTACTGTCGTCAGCTATCACAGGCCCATATAGGGCACCTTCAAACACGACCTCCCCTCTTACTTCACATTTCAAGGACCTGGTTGTAAAGATGACTTTCACCTCCTTGCCCCTCGTTCCCTCTGCAACGTTCACCTCGATGTAAACTTCCTCTAGGGTTTGCCACCAGTGCCCCCACGGCGTGCGAACTTCGATTATGCCACTATGCTCATCGAAATGTGCCATCGTTCTTGTTGATTACTCATTTCAGCTATGCATGACCTTAAAAATGAGAGGGAAATCATAGTGATTTCATATTATCATCACATCACAATTTCAACAGTGTGGAGAACGTTTCTGCTTCAACTTAGTGAGCCGCCCGTTTCTTGATAAACTGGATTTTATGACGGGAATTTCAAGAAAGCGATAATCGCTACTGCGAATCATATGAAAAAAATACAACTAAAAAATCAAGATATATGCAGATTTCATTTTTTCAATTTCAAAGTTATAATTTTTGAATACTATAAAATATTTCAAGCGAGAAATTTGACAAAAAAAACCAGTGCAATCAACATAATTAGTTCCCACTTACATGTAGCAGTAAAATAAATTTCTCACTGGTACAGAATTGTTTAGTGCACGAATATGATGTGAAAAATACAAGAAATGGGATGGTTCACGTTTTCAAGCGACTTCTTGGTCAGATTTAAAAAAGTTTAATATCAACAGAGTAGACATCATAACAGCCACACCACCAGCAGCAGTGACTCCCTGTTCTTTACCAGCATAGTTACTATAAACAAACAATATTTTATGCATATACTTGCTCGAATTTATCACTTTGTGTATGCTTGATTGCACAGCGATTTGTACTCGATTGACATTCTATTCAAGTGTAATCTAAAATATTTGTTGACAAAACGCTGCACGTTTGACTTGCTTTGATGAAATTTCCTAATGTCTATTTATTGTGTGAAATGTGTTAGAAGTTACATATTAAAAATACTACAGCCCAATTAAAAATTGAAATCAATTTTAGAAATGAACATGTTGCAATGTTTTATTACCATCAGTGCAATATTGTTACATGCGAACACTTAATATTTGGGAATGAAATTTTTTACTTACAAATATTATGCCTTTGTGGTAATACAATGACAAAATTATTTGAAATGTATTAATCAGAGATTCCTTAAAAATGAATTTGCATGCATACAACTCATGACCATCATAAAACCTGGCATGCTATTGAACTTTTGGTAACTGCATCACAATATTAAAATTGTAATCTGGTATATGCATGAAATGCTGCGTGCAAATAGATATACTCTTCAAGAGAATCGGTTGAGTTATGTATAGCACGTTTCACCATCTGGAGTGTAAATAAACCTGAATAGAGAACGAGTGGGAACGAGTGGGCCTTTCCGCTGGAATGACCAGTCACTCATGCAACACACTGTCTCTTCACATCAATAAAATATAGACGAGAAATTATTCCAAATTTCAACTTGCACCACAATTGCTAGTCACAAGTCGCACAGTAATGCCTAACACGAAGGCATCCGAGACGTCCAGTTAAGTTCAGCCTTTACCTCGAACCGTCGATCCCAATCACACCACATATATTTAGTCGTCAAATCGTACCAATCAAATCAGCCACCTGTTGAATCAACAGTCACTCATTTCGTTTCAGCATTCCTTTCCATGGACTCGTCAGTCACAGCAACAACGCATCACACACAGTTATCCAAGCAGTCCATTCATTCGAAGCCTCTCCACCAGCCTTGCCAGTCACAGCAATACCACATCACACACAGCTATCCAATCACTGTCCGTTCAATTGAAGCCTCTCCACCAGCCTTGCCAGTCACAGCAACACCACATCACACACAGCTATCCAATCACTGTCCGTTCAATTGAAGCCTCTCCGCCAGCCTTGCCAATCACACACAGCTATCCAATGAGACTGTCCGTTCAATCGAAGCCTCTGCGCCGGACTCGCACCGCCATCGCGTCACATGAAGTCGTCCGAATCGTTGCCGCTGTCCTGATTCGTCGACATCTTCGCCGACTCGAAGAGCGTCGCGTAAGAGCGCAGCTGCTTCTCGCGCTCCCGCTCCTCGGCCGCCTCGCGCTCCCGCTGCTTCTGCTCCAGCAGCACCTGCTTCTTATCGCCGCGCTCGTCGCGGTCCCGCAGCTCACGCTGCTCGCGCAGGTCCGGCGCACGCTCCGTACGCGTCTTGTTCAGCCGGTTGATGATCTCGTTGGCGCGCTTCTCGACGCGCACCTTGCGCACGTCGCGCTGCCGGTGGAAGCCCACCTGGCCGACGTCCATGCCCGGCGTCTTCTTCAGGTTCGACCAGAGCGTGTAGACGACGTCGACGTCGTTCATCTTGTTGCCGGAGATGCTGTTGGCCTTGCAGAGCTGCACGGCATCGACGAGCACGCGCGACGGGATGTCGTCGAGCGTCTCGCCGCGCTTCAGCCGCAGGTAGACGTGCGCCGACGACACCTTGTCGACGTGGAACCACACGTCCTCGGGCCAGCCCCAGCGGATCAGCTCCTCGTTCTCGTGCTTCTCAGCGCCCATGAACAGCGTCACGGCCGGCTCGACCACGCTGCTCGTGAAGTAGAACACCATCGCGGCGACGCCGTTTCTCGAACTAGGCTTTAAGCAAAGTGCCAGTTATATAGGCACTCGGGTGATTGCGCGCAGTTTTTTCGAATCACAGTCTCTCTCGCTCTTGTACGGGTTTCAACCTCCGGGGGAACACGTGGCGAAACGATCGCCCTCCGGTGTACGCAGGCAGACAAATGCCCTGCCGGCAGTGTCGCTCAAACTTGGCTTCTCCCCTTGAGGTTGAGTTCATGTGGTAACGCTCCTTAGAGTACTTCGGACTTTGGAGTAATCGGTAGCGCTGTACACGATCAAACTATTACCAGTGAGTAATCGAGTTTCACAGTAACGCAGAGGGAATGACCAACACAGCAGACGATCGCTCTGCCGGTAGCGTTAAACAACTCTGGCTTCTCCTTCCTGCTGATGACGTAACCCAGAGGCTCTGGCTTTCTGGGCAAAAAACAAAAATTGCTAAACACCCACAAAATCTGCAAGACAAAGTTCTGCATAGTGTTGGAAACTGATGAAAATCCCACGATCCGACATCGCCTGCGCAAACTGATTGATGATTGATGAATCCTTGATCAATAACTATTCTATATCATCGCTATAAAAATATTGAGACGTTTAACGTTTTAAAGTGTCCTGTGGATGTGTGGTATAACTGATATAACTGATAGGGTAGATTTAATACAAGTTACAACAAACAAAACCATTAGTTTATAAGTGTAATTGACGACTTAAAAAAAATTATCCTTCATCAGGGGCTGAAAATAGTGGCTTTTGCTCGCAGGTCCGAGACTTTTCAGAAATATTTTTGGAAGGTCCAATGAAAGATATGTAACGTTTGTTTGGCTAATAGATTGTTTGGTAACAGTGGGTCCGTTTTTTGATACAAAACTATAAAAAGTTAAACAAACTCATGTTTGCCCTTGTTTGATACAATACATGCGTCGTCTGCAGGCATTCGAGTTACTCGCACGAGCGACGAGTTACCTCCGGCACGCTGAAACTGCGTGCGCATCCACGTTAACTTCCAGTATAAACAACCATGCTACTAACGTTGCAGCATACACTATGAGCACGTGTAATTTCGACTCTTATACTTGGTATGTTTCATTTCGAAACTTCGACTCTATTTCGCCTATAATCACCTGTAAATGCCGGTCTAATGCTCATCTGCAACACACAAGTACACCGGTGTGTGCACAAACAACATGAATAAGAGAGCAGGTAGGAAAGCGTGATCGCAAAATTCGCTCGACGCTCGCTTCATTTCACACGATCACAGAACGAAAACACATCCAACAGCTCCCATCTTGGTATCTATGTGTACATAAATGTTCACTTGTTCGAATTATAAGGTATGACGATGGCAAATCCACCAATGAGCATTGGGACAGGTTTAGAATGAGATCGTATTTGAGTGTCTGCGTGCGCTAGAATTTTGTATTTCTCATTAGAAAGGGTTATAACTGTTTGCAATTGTTAATTTCAGAAACTAGAATCTTTTCTGAATCCGACAGTGTAAACGGCTCGTACGAGGTGCGTTGCTGGGGTGGCCCAAGAATTTTCAAAGAAAGCCTACTTTTTGTGCAGATTCACATTGTAAATTGGCCATTTCTAGTGTGTGCTAGCAAAAGTTTGTTTACAAGAGAAATTATGAAAGAATTTTTTTGTTAATAACATATATGGTGTCACTTGCGACTTGGATTCAGAGGATGGCATTATTATTTGTAAAAAAACTTCTGCTGATTTATGGGAATTTTTTTCGTAAGTATGGCCGCCTATGGAAAATGATTACCCATGGTGGTACCTTAACTCTGGCCTTTGTTCTTACCTACTCCCGCCAGAGATATCTCGTGAAATCCTGCAGGAAATGTTCTCTCCGTGAAAATGTAAAGAGGACGTATCACCCAAAAATCCCTAACGACGCTACTTTCGATCGATCGCTGTAGTCGTGTGTGCGTGACATAATGCCCTCGCGCATTGTGCTTGGCTTGGCGGGCCTCGAAACGGAGCTCGGAGGCCGGCAGCAGCTCATCCCGGCATGCAATGCGCCCCATTACTCGTGTATAAACAGACATCTCGTCCTCTTTACATTTTCACGGAGAGAACATTTCCTGCAGGATTTCACAAGATATCTCTGGCGGGGAGTAGGTAAGAACAAAGGCCAGAGTTATAATTCGAACAAGTGAACATTTATGTACACGCAGATACCAAGATGGGAGCTGTTGGATGTGTTTTCGTTCTGTGATCGTGTGAAATGAAGCGAGCGTCGAGCGAATTTTGCGATCACGCTTTCCTACCTGCTCTCTTATTCGTGTTGTTTGTGCACGCAGCACAGGGCGGGTGTGCGGTGTACTTGTGTGTTGAAGATGAGCATTAGACCAGAATTTACAGGTGATTATAGGCGAAATAGAGTACAGAGAAGCATTAAGACTTTGGTACATTTCGTGTTTATTTACCATTATTTTTTTCATTGAGATGTTCCAAGTGCCTGTGAGGACACGCGTTAAACTATAGCTCATAGGGTCTATGTCCCCCAGGGTACTGCCGGAACGTACCCTGGGTACGGTTCGGTATACCGGAACGTACCCTGGTCACTATTTGATATGGTTATATAGGGTTAGGATTAGGGTTCGGGTTCGGGTTAGAGAGTAGGCGTAGGCGACTCCTTAGACTCGTTAGTGGAGTAGGCGAGATACGGTCCGGCATATTAGATAGTACCAGGGTACGTTTCGGTATACCAGACCGTACCCAGGATACATTCCGGCAGTACCCCGGGAGACATTAGCCGCGTTCACACGGAGCGAAGGAACTCGGATCGAAGACGACCCGTGTCGAATACGACACGGAGCGTCGTTGAAGAGAGCGTTC